TTTGGAAATACTGCGCAACAAATAAAAACTTAAAAAAAAAAAAAAAAGGCACGTAAATTGAAGGCTTCTGGAACTTTGAAATTCAGATTCAAGTGTTGTTGAACGTCGAAAGAAGGATTGCATTATAGAATTGGCTATAGAAGATAAAATGTTTGGGATTGGCAAGTCGTCCAAGTCACATACAAGCAACGGACCTACGTTCTTTGATATCAGGTGAGTATATCGTGGAATTGGTGGAGTTTATCTTTGTGTGTTGATGGGAAATTGATACTTTAAATATTGAGATCTCAACAATAATATTCCACCATACATTTGAATAAACCAAAAATTAATCAATACTAACATCCTATATGACTTAGGGTCAAGAGTACTTATAAAAATCTGGTGCTTGTTAAAGGTTCACAATATGAATCACCATCTGTTATGTTGAATGGTCATTTGGTATTTTCATTACCTGAAAGTCTTACTGTTAAAAAAATTGGTTTAAAATTAATTGGAAGATATAAATTAGATTTCTTAGAAGTTATGGCTCATCAAAGGTCTACAATATCAAGTCCTGTTAAACAAGATGCTGTTGTTTTTGAAGTTACATGGGATAATTTATTGGTAAATTCTGAAGGTGTTGTTACAGTTAGTGCTTCAGATAAAGTTACAAACCCAAATGATAATAGATCATCAAGTCAACGTCATGGTATTTCTGCATTATCATCATCTTCACATACTAAAAAAACAACCCCAAAGAAATTAAATAGAGCAAATGCTCCTACTGCTTTAACTCTGCCAATTAATGGTGTTTCTGGTACACCTTTTGAAAATGTTACAACACCAAATGGTGCTTCATTTAATTTACCAGGTGGGAATTATGATTTACCTTTCAAATGTGTTCTTCCGGGTGATATCCCTGAAACTGTGGAAGGTCTGGTTGCAGGTTCTGTTCTATATAAATTTGAAGCTTCAATTGATAAAGGTGCATTTAAATCACCAATAAATAAATATAAATATTTTAGAATATTTAGAACTTTATCAAGTGATAATTTACAACTTTCAGAAACCATGCAAATTGGTAAAACTTGGCCTGGGAAATTACAATATGAAGTTAGTATACCTGCAAGAGCTGTCCCCATTGGTGGGAAAACTCCATTAAATATATTATTGGTTCCTTTTATAAAAGCTATGAAATTAGGACCAATTAAAGCTCAAATTGTTCAATATTATTCATTCAAGGGGATTAACGGTGATGTTTATGATGATCAACAACAAATTATGGATTTAACAATGACACAAATGGAAAATCATGAATTAACAGATAAATTAGCTATTGAATCATCTATTGATTTACCATCAAATTTGAAAAAAGTTACACAAGATTGTGATTTAAAAGAAGATTTAATTAAAGTTAGACATAAATTAAAAATTCAAATTAATATTATTCAACCAAATGGTCATATGAGTGAATTAAGAGCAAATTTACCAATCAGTTTTTATATTTCACCAGATGAAGAAATGACTGGTCGTACAATTGTTTTAGATAAATATGGTAAAATTCATTTTAGAAAAGAAGAAGAACCTTTATTTGAAAAAAATAAACATAATCAAAATACAAATAAACAAAAAGGTCAAGATTTTGCACCCCCTGTGTATGAAGCTCATATTTATGATCAATTATATGGAGATTCAAGTACTGATGTTAGTGGAGCAAATTCAGGTGCTGTTTCACCAAATTTATTATCTCCAGGTAATTTATCACCAATAAATTATGGATCTGGTGGTACATCACCAAATTATGGAGCAGGTGGTGGATTATCACCAAGTCCAACACCTGGAGCTGTTTCTCCACTGCCAATATTACAAAATCAATCACAATTGGAAGAAGGAGGAGGTGAAGGATATTTTGGAATTCCAACAAGACCATCAAATAATTTATCAAGTGGTAATAGTTTGAGTGGAGGTGCATCAGCTGCAGTTTCACCTTTATTAGAAGCTAGTATTCATAATTCATATGGTCATAATATTGATGATGAACTGTCAAGAAGTTTAGAAGCATTAAAATTCACACATATATCAGATTTACCATCATATCAAGATGCAATTGATGCAGATGATGATGTCGAAGAAACTTTAGATTTTGCACCAAATTATGAAAATTCAGATGATGAAGAAAATGATAAAATATTTGGTACTGTTAAAGGACCAGAACATAATTCATTACCAAAATTTGGTGGATTAACTAGTAAAAGTGTTGGTACAATTTCAAGTGCATCACATAGTAGAACTAGTTCATTACCAAGTACAAGAGTCCAAACTCCAAAGAGACAATCACCTGTTGGTAATATAGAACTACCTAAAACAAATGATTTAAGATCACAAAGTTCATCAACATCATTATCAACAAGTTCAAGATCTAAAATCAATACTTCAACATCTACAACACCAACTGGATTAGGAGTTGGAACAATATCTACAACAGTAACAGGGACAGGTACAGGATCAGGATCAGGGTCAAGTTCAAGTTCACAAATACCACCTCAAAGACCTTCCGCATTTAGAAGTTCATCTTTGAATAATATTTTATCAAGACATGGATCTTCATCTAATTTAAATTTAAGTGGTAAAACACAATCAACAAACACAAGTTCATCAAATTTATCTAAATTAGCTTATAAGAAATTTTTAAAGAAGGATAAAAAATAAGGTCAATGAGTATACAAAGATCACAGGCACATTTAGTTTTTAGTTATTATATATTTACGAATGACACGAATAGAGAGGCGTATTTATAAAGAATGGTATAAATTGTAGTCTACTACGACGTTAATGTAAGTAAATACTACCTGCTTTCATCTCCGGATTTGCATAACCCCTGAATCATCCGGCAAAAACAAATAAACTAATGTAACCCCGTACTTGAACTGCGATTGCGATAATTCTTCCGGTGGAACGTGAGTCAGTTTTGTAGGAATTAATCCAAGCTAACAAGAAGAATTACAAGATTGGTGAGCCACTGGTAAGTAAAGAGAGATGATCTAATTTTTAGTGAGTTAATTAGCGTTTATATTGCAGCATGGATATGCCTATTGTGGACCATTGCCTAGAGGCTAAAGCCTTATAGAGCATGTCACGCAGTACTTGATAATGCAGAATCAGCATAATATATTAGCCTTCAACTGAGTATAGAAGTTCCAACAGACTTTTGACTTTTAAGTTTTGACTTTCCCACAGCTTAAATCTTTACTGACGACTGATTGAAGACAATGGGAAATTTAATGGGAAATTTAAAGGGAAATTAAAATTCCAGTGGAAGAAATTTGAGTTTGTCCAATTAAAAAGCCTTCCCGGAGAAACTCGTTGCTGCCCTCCGCAAAGGACAAAAGCTGGGGGTGCGTGGTGCGTACCAGGACTTTGTAGGCTGCAAATTCCAATTTTTCCCATCAACACTTTTCCTGAAAACTAAAGGAAAAAAACGCTGTTGATACTTTGAAACCCACAATTTATAATAAAACTACAACATTAGAACCCTTTTGGAAACTTATCAAACTTGAGTGGGATCAAATACTGGATTCATCACACATTGAACTAATCTGAAGTATCATACATCGTGTTCTGTCTATTATTTCAAGTATTGCACTACTTATATTTTCAATTTCAAATTTGCTATCAACAATAGAGTCTCCTATATTTCAATAGTTATATTAATATTCAATTGGGACGGAAAAGTTGCTGGTTAATATCTGTATTCAAACAATGTCATCTATTGCTCATATGCTGGGTCAGAATGACCAACTGGCTAAGACTGATTCTAGAGACAAGTCAAGTGATACGTCTCAGATCAATGAAATACCCAAAATAACAACAACTTCACCACCAATCACAAATAACAATAGGAATATTGATCCGAAAACAACAAGAGAAGAACCTGAGCTTGAAAAACAAAAATCAACCTCCACTTCATCAGATACCTCATCAACTACTGTCCCAACTGTGAGAAAGTCTGTTGATTTAACCGCTGAACAACAAGTTGTTGGTAATGGTGGTGTGAATTCCAATAATACAGAAGCTCAAGATTCATCAAATAATAACCAAATACATCATCAAAGGAAAAGATCAAAAGTATCAAGAGCTTGTGATGATTGTCGAAGAAAAAAAATCAGATGTGATGCCACTTTTAGTTCAACTTCAAATTCAGTAATGAAGCCTTGTACCACTTGTCTTAAGAATAACTCCACTTGCTCATTTGATAGAGTCCCATTGAAAAGAGGCCCAACAAAAGGTTATACAAAGCCAGATGGTGAATCAACAAGAGAACGTTCAAAATCAAGTACTTCAAGAAGATCAAGCAGCATGAGTAATCATCCTGCTTTACAACAAGTTCCTCAACAAACAAATCCACAATTAAGACCAAATTCATCTTCACCAATTACATTACCACCTTTAATTTCTCTCACGAATAATGTTCCTTTGAAGTCTTATGGGAATAGTAACAATTCATCAGCTCCAAGGAGCTCTTCCAATGGTAACAATTCATTAGATGTTTCAAACTCAATATCACAACCAACGTCACCAAGACGTGGAAGTACATTTAGTCAAGGGGGTGGTGATCAACCTTTAAACTCACAATCATTATCCATTTCTCAGCAGCAGCAGCAACAGCAACAGGCTACTAATAATGGACCAATCCCACAAGGGTTGTTTTGGAAAGTTCCATATAGTCAAGGTCCATTTGATAGAAGAGGCTCTGTTGATTCTGTTTCTTCATCATTTAGTGATTCAAGATCTTCAAGATTTTCATCAAATTCTATCCCTGGATCTGGTATAAATCCAAATACATCAAATAGTAATTTCTTATTTGGGGCAAGACCAAGTGTGAATTATGAATCTTCTGTTATTTCTGATTCAGAAGATGATAGAGTATCAAATTATTCACCAAGAGCATCAATTGATGCTTCAAGAGCTAATAGAAGTCGTTCAAATTCATTTAATGTCCCTCCCCAACCTACAAGTCCTGCAATGTCAATTTCATCATTACATAGTTTAAACCAAGGTTTCAATAAGAATATGATTTTACAAAATAGTAATGTTGCTTTGGCTCAACAACAACAACATCAAATGGTGGAAATTTATTACCAATTAATACATCCTTCCTTCCCAATCTTACCATTGAACAAACAATCATTAGGGAATCTATTAGCTATCCCTTCATCCAAGAATCAAGAAATACAAGAAATAAATAATTTGATTGTTCATTCATTTTATTCATCATTAGATGGCTTAATAATTTCAGCTTCAAGAGGTGCTAGATCTCCTTCTATAATTTCAATGCAACAGGTGAATTCAGATCAAACAACTTCTTTAAATCCTTTACAAATTATTGCAACTAATTTTACAAACTTAATTAGAGTTTTCCCACAATTACAATCCAAATTCAATCTATATTCACAAAATATTGTCATATTATTCACTTCTTCAATTGTGTTGCTATCTTATTCCATTGCATTACTAGGTTTTGAATCTGATATTTATATTAGCTCAAGCGTTGCTGTATTCAATAAATTGAAAATTTTCAGATTATTTTGGGACAAAAGTCATCAAGTAACAGCAGATAATTATGATGATTACAATTCAATACTGAAAAGGTTATATGTATCTTTGGATATTGTTGATACCTTACAATCATTATCATTTGGTATCCCAAAATTAATCTCAATTGATTATGATCCTTCAATTGTTGATATTTTATTCCCTTCGTTCAATGATTCAGCTTCTGTTAATGGTTTAGATTTTGAAATGGCTAAAAGAAATATGAAATTTGGATTGATATTGACAAAGATTAGTTCATCAAGAAAATTTGCAGAATTAACTTATTCATCAACATTTTTAAGTGATTTGAAAACTAAGTATAATTATTTTTCAAACATTATTGAAGAATCCCCAGTTACACATCATGATCAAATATCTGTAAATTTCTTAGATCTGATAATTGCAAAATTCGAACTTGTTGGATTTTTAGATGAAGTTTGTCAAAATATTATTGGACAACCAAGACTAGATGAAGAACTCATATATGATTTTCAACTCAAATGTCTAAGGATTGTGAAAAAACAATTGGAATTACAGTCCAATTTACTAAAATCCATTAAAAATTACAGTAATTCAATTGATAATAATCAATTAGTATCTCCATTCTTACCATTAGCTTTTAGACAATCTATTAAAGCACTAAATATTCAAAAGATTTTAATTAATTCATTACAATTTAACAAAGATTTGATTGGAAGACTATCTAAACCATTGAATGATTTGATAAGTTTGAATAATTACTTGAGTTTATTGAAACCTTTCAAAGCTGAAGAATTGAATAATCATATAAATTTTAGTTTTGTTTCTGAACATTTAAAATATCTGGAACTGTACAATGAATCATCAACTTCTTCAAACATCAACAAAGAAACAGAAATTCTGAAACACTGGGTAGGATTAATCAATGATGTAAAAAGCTTTATTCAAAAGGAAGATTATGATGGTTGGTTTTAATTAGACAGATCTGAGTTCCAATACCTAAATTACTGAATTATAATATATTTAATTGAAAGATAGGTACAATATTAATGACTGCAATGTTTATATGAGATTATCAAATAATATGTTAATTTAAGACTTATAACAAATTATACATCGTAGACGTTATACGTGTCTTCCATATGCAATACTTCCAAACGTATCGAATTGTCCTTTATTTTCCATCTACGTTTTGAAAAATTATTCAAATTGTACTTTAAAAGCTTACTTTAGTAACACACTAAAGAAAACCAAAGTTAAATGCATTGAGTAGTATTAATAATTATTGTGACTATACGATTACATCAACATAAAAAAAAAACAACAAAAACTTTTTGTAGAGAACGATAAGAATATATTAGGTCATGAAATGCAATAATGGATAATCAGATAAAATAGCGTATGTAAAACAGAACCGAAGGACCTTGAAAATAATGAAGAAGCCACCAAAATAAATGATGTGCAATGAATAATGTTTGATCAAAAATAACTTCATGTCGACAATTTTAGAGACTCTAGGGGTGGATTTTTCACATCAGTACGCTGAATGCTATTATGATTTGAATTGTGATTATTTTGTTGATCATCAATGACTGCGTTATTGTCACCATAATCATCTTCATCATCGTCTTCATCTTCATCATCATCATCCTCATCATCTTCATCATCATCATCGTCATCATCGTCATCATCATTGTCATCATTGTCATCATCGTCATCATCATCGTCATCATCGTCTCCATCTTCATCTTCATTGGTATCACTACCTTTTCCTTTATTATCGTCATCTTTGCCATTTGATGTGCCTTCTGCTAAACGACTTTCAAGTTCCCTTGCCTTCTGGATTTCTTTCAATTTTTTAGCCAATATTTCCACAATATCACTCCATTCTCTCATACCACCCATACCAATATCACCACAGACTAAAACCTTTTCAACTGGTTTCAAAATTTCAATCCAAGGACAATCTTCTTGTAAAGAGGTGAGGTGTTTGCTTGTGACTGGATGTGTGTACATGAATGTATTCATTGCCGGTGCAACTAATATTGGTGAAGCAGGGTTCCAGCTTCTAATGATAGCAGTCAATAAATTATCACAAATACCATTCGAAATTTTTGCTAAAGTATTTGCACTTAAAGGACTAATTAACATTATATCAGCCCATCTTCTTAATTCTGTATGTAAAACTGGATCTCCCATTTTTTTATAACCAAACCATTCTTCATCATCTCTCCAGATTTTAACATCTGAGTTTATTTTCAAACCTTTTAAGAAATGTTCTGCAGCTTTTGTAACAACCAATTGAATCGAAACTTTTGATGATCCAAATAATTTACAAATCTTGTCAATAATCAATGGAACTTTTATTGTAGCAACAGAACCAGTTGCACCAATCAATATGTGTATTTTATTATCATCTTGCTTTTGAAAAAATTCATAAAATGGTACCGTAGTTGTTGGAGTTCCAATGACGGCTTTAGTTGGTTTTTCTTTAATTTTCTTGGGAATAGCAATTGGTTGTGATTGTTGAGGATCATCAAGTTTTTGACTATCAGCTGGAGAGGGAACTCGGTGTTGATCCAAGGAAGTTGGTGATGTACTATTCTTTCTGTTAATCAATTCGGGTGATTTTAATCCATTAGCTGGAACATTTTCTTGTGGATACTGATGATATGATGGGAAATTGTTTGCTGTAAATTGAATAAATTCACCTGTATTTGAATTTTGTCTTGATGAGTTTGCTGAGCCACTGTATGTACTTGAAATACTTGGATTTCTCGAAGCAATGGTATTAGATATGGAATACTGTCTTTGTACATTAGCTGGGTTTGATAATTTTGGGTCTGTTGTAGTTGTGGATGATGATCCAGTTTGTGGACTTATAACTGTACTTGTTGATTTTATCTTTGAACCAGTATCTGAAGGCTGTTGTGGTGTCATAAGCCCTTGAGGTTGGACCATTGTTGGTGCTTGTCCCAGTGTATTTATGTGAATTGCAGAAGGCCTTGCGCTTATTGAACCACGATGTGATTTTTCAGTTTGATCAGGTACCGTGAATGAAACACTACCATATTTCACAGAAGAACTTGCCCCTGTGTTGGGTATCTGTGTGGGATTCACAGCTGGACGAGTTGGTGCAGTAGTTTCTGGTTGGTTGATTGGATTTGTAGTGTTTGTTGCAGCTGAAGTATTAACATTCACATTATTTGATCTCTTCATTTGATTCTCATTAGCAATACTTGCTTTTACTGGTGAGCCTGAAGTTTTATTCAAAATTGAAGCCGCTGGCTTAGCCTGTGTTTGGGTTTTGGATGGATTTCTTTCAAGGTTTTGAACGGTTGGTTCGTGTTGATCAGGCATCTTCTCAAACTTTAGCGCTTAAATCACCAAAATCTTTTTGAACTATTGGAATTTAATCGTGTAACCGACTTTAATGAGTTTCAGCAACAAAGAGTATATTCAGTATATAAGAGCCTAGTTAACGACCCTCTCTTTTAACTATGTCTTTCCAGATCAAATAAAATGAGTCTTTGGAATGCTTTGACCAATAGAAGGCTGAACTATCAAGTATAATTCCGAGCTAGGTTAAACCTGAATATTTTGGGAAAACCAGAACAATTTTTAAATTGACAAAGCACAGAAGCACTCTTTTCAATCTTTAGCTTTCTAATTGAAGTTGATTGTTAATAATTTTTGATGGAGTCTGTCTAAAATTCCAATTAAATTGAGGCAAATAAATTTTGAGAAGAGCGTTAGAGGGAAAAATCATCTTCTTTGTATTCAAAAAAAAAATGCGACATTCGCGAGAGTGATGCCTATATATTACTTCAAGGGGTAATTGCATTTCTAAATATTCTCTAATTTTGCGCTTGCGAATGTGGGATCAGGTATAATTCCTCGTCGATGCTATCCTCTAGCGCTATTTGTTGTACAGATCGACACCAGTGGCAAAACCGCAATTACTCTATACAGAAATAACGGCACTTTATGAGTTGAACCGACTTTGAAAATGGCGCAAATTAGTAATTAATTAATGGATGCCAGTATGCCAGTCACAAATTTACCAAAGAAATCTGAGCCCAGAGTAGGAACCAGCTACTTGCAAGTTGCAAATATATTCTTATATAGAGAACGTATATAAACTCTTGATTTTTAAAACACTTTGAACTATTCGCTCATATCCAATGGAAACGTGGTGAAGTTCCACTTTTAGTACTAGAATTAGGAAAATTGCCATATTATATACAAATTACTACATATGTATTGGTAATTAAAGCGATATATAATACATCGACTAGATTGTGACATATAGCTGATGATAGCATCTAAAGACACTTATTGAGCTGATTATTACTGATAAAATTCTTTAGGATGTTCAAAGAAAAGATCATTTTTATAAGTATGATATAATAAAGTCTTTGTAATTTGTGTAACCAATATGATTCAGATGACTATCGCGAATTATATAGAGTGGCCGATACGGAGCTTCCCAATGAAAATTGACTTGATTTCAATTAATAAGATTCTTTGAAGGACCTATTGTAATGTTCAAACATCATAATTCACACCATTAATCATAATCAAAAATGTTCAGAAGCTCGTTTTTACGTCCAGTGAGTCAAGTATGTTACCTTTGGATACATGTTTCAGCATTGTTATATGAGTCAGAATTCTTTTCAATATTTTATTTCAGATACTAACACTTCCCACATTTAGATTCGCTCACCATTGTTCAAATTAAACACAAAATATTCATTTGTTAGATTATTATCTACTGAGACAAAAGAGGCTATTGAAAAGGCTGTTTCCTCAGCTCCAGTTGTTTTATTTATGAAAGGTACCCCAGAATTCCCTCAATGTGGGTTTTCAAGAGCTACAATTAATATATTAGGTCAAACAGGTGTTGATCCTGAAAAGTTTGCCGCTTATAACGTTCTAGAAGACAATGAACTACGTAATGGTATTAAAGAATTCAGTGAATGGCCAACTATACCACAACTTTATGTCGATAACGAATTCATCGGTGGTTGTGATATTATCTCTTCAATGGCTCAATCTGGTGAGTTAGTTCAAATGCTTGAAGAAAAAAATGTTTTAGTTCCTGAAGATGAGTAATCCATTCGGTGTACATATTCTATTAAATCTCATACATGCTACACATTTAATGAAAAAATTTTATTATAATTTAATGTTTTGAAAGGAAAATTAAAACATTACATATGTATTCTTACGCCTTTAGATTTGATAACTTTGAATCTTACAAAAGTATCAAACTCCATTAGAAGAACCGAATTGAGATAAGACCCAATCCATTGATTTATATCTGAGCTTAAAGATATTTATGTTTTATTTGTGATCATGTAATACAAGACCTTAATAAATATCCAAAAAGTATACCAGATCATATAAAGCCGATAAACTAAAAAGGTATTGATCCAAATTTAAAGACTTTGAAAAGCTTTCTGTTGAAATGATTTAGTTAGTCTATCTATCCATTTCAAACTGAATGGGATTTTTGTATGATGTGATATTATCTCCAACAATCAGAAATTTTATATTGTTTGTTGCATTCAATAGAGAGAGCATCAACAATCAGACATACCAAACGTAACTTTTTTTTTCTCTGTTGATTCCAATGACTTGAACGCTAATTATTGAGCTATATAGTCTCAAATGAATATTTTTTTTTGTTTGAATCTGCTACCTGTGAAGAGCCAGTTAAATTGTACTTCCAATTCTTCAACTATTAAGATTCAATGAGTAATAATTAACCCATTCCCAAAATTAGACCCTTGAATTTCATCAGGCTGATAAACTGCACATTCAACATTCAAAAACCATACAGTAGCAATTATATTTAACTTACATTTTGATTCAATGACCTGATATCTTCAGATTATCGGCCGTAATAAAAATTTATTGAATATTATGGAAGTATAATTCATTATACCGATCGATATTTTTTTTTGCGGGCGGAAAAACGTCTCTTAACCAAAAACACGTTACTTCACCAAATTAGATCATACTTCTTATCACACCATAAAGATTTTATCATGTCATTCCTGCAAAGCTCAAACATATTGTGGAGAAATGCTTCCATTTCTTAATTAATCGCATTTACCAATCACCGAATCTGTAATCAGGATTCAGTATATAGCGTGATTTTTGGGTTCCAATTGTGGGCTCATAATTACATTACTTGTTACGAATAACTACAAAACTTGGACGTCTTAACATAGTACTTGGTGTAATTTGTTATGGTAGATAACAATATATAAAAGCCTTCGGCTGCCACATTAAGAAAGCAGTTAATGGCTATTCATTTTAATTATAAATTCGCTTTAGTCAATAACAGGTATAAAGGTAAAATGGTTTCTCAAACAACGATTAAATCATTCCAAAGATCAATATTTAATATGAACAAATCATTTGCAGCTAGTTCAAGCAGGGGTGGGATATTTAGATTTACAAAGTATATGGTAGCATTAAGTGCTTGCTTTACCCTTGGATTTTATGGAATGTATCAAACATATTATCAAAACAATAAAATTAAAACAATTTTTGAACAAGAAAGACACAAAGTTGGTAGAAACGCCCGCCATTCTCTGTGAGACATCATACGTATTATAACATGATTCAAAATTGATATAATTGTCAGCACCATATCCAACAGTTTTATATATATACAAATAACTAAATTAATTCATGAACATCATCAAATCAATATCAATCTTTGGACGTTTAGGGGGATCCTTTAATACGTTTTAGTACTACCAACTATAATATTATATGTCAAAATTTCACGACAGTTATACATGACAATATTTAGCAAGCTTATAATAACATTTCAACATGATTATACATTTATAAATGTATTTCAGCTATACATATTACTAATATTTATTGAACGTGTAGGTAGTTGTTGCAGCTGTATTACATATTAAACATTTAGCTGATTTGCGAGCCTATTAAATATACAATATAATTAGTGTTCATAATAAACTTAATACTCTTGAATTATAAAAGCAAAATACAAACACAGTCAAGATACAATGCAATATACATAGAAGTATAAAAATAGATATTTAGTGATTTTGAAATTTTGGAAGGCCCGAAAAAAAAAATCTCTTAGTTTAAAGGTATTTCAGCTCTTCGATAAAACTCTTGATAGCTGATTTAGTAGGCTCATGTGTAATTTTTGCATCTAACAAGTTATTTATTTCAGGAAGAACTTGTAAAAACTCTCCAGAATATTTTCTGATGATAGCTTTCAAAAATCCAAGAGTTGTATGATATTTCCAGATGAGCTCAGCTTTTTCATTAACTTCATCATTGACATCAGGAACTTCGATTTCACCAGGCTGTTCAATTCGGAAAGTTGTGACTTCTAATATTGAGGTCAATTCACCATAAATAACTTTCAACAAATTTGATGAATTTCCAGAGATTGCAGCACTGGACAATAGTCTAAAGATTGATTCTGTAGCTGAAACATTCACCAATCCCAAATTGTATTTATTGTCATCGTTCAATGAATATCTGATCAAAGATTCAGATGATATAACATCATAAGATTCCAAAACATCTAAAACCAAATAACCATTTTCAGGAGCTGAGTTCCAATACTTGATTATAGCATCAACAGCCCATAACTCTCTCTGAGCAACAACATTTGGCGACTCCACCTCAACCAATCTACCTTCTTCTTCTTCAGCATCACCGCTTGAGTTTTTTGAATCGATAATTTCACCTTCACTAGAGCTAGAACCTTTCTCTTTTGATACAGAAGATTCTTTACCCAACAAAGTTCTCAAGAAATTGAAAGTATTACCCACGTATTTACCTGCATGTGAAATTGATCTGTTACCCACAAAAGCAATGACTTGAAAGACAAATGTTATCAATAAAGCATCTGGTGATTTATAATCCTTAATTTTTTCTTTGATTGATTTGATGAGGCTGGTGTATTCTTCATTTGTAGCTTCCCTATGTAAAATTTCGATTAACTTCTCGGTATCTTCTTTCAATGACACATTGTCACTCAAGAAAAATAATTTGTTTTGCTCTTCATCAAAATTCAAGTTTACATCCTTAAGGTTAACTTCACCAAACAATGAAACATAATAATCTTTAATTTCAGAACTTTCGAATAACGAAGTATTCAAATATTGGTGAAATTCTTCTGTAAGAGTCTGTTGGATTCTTTCACTTGTGGCTAATCTAAGTTCCTTAGCAATGATATTTTTAATGAAGACAATTCTTGGGTGGTATTTGCTTTTAGAATTCTTAGCTGAATCAACTTCCCATTCACGCCATTTCCAAGTAAAGTTAAAATTACTCAATTGAACAGCTAACCAATCAAGATATCTGAACCTCAACTCAAAATCAGTAATATGAATGTTCGAGTAAAAGAAACGGATCGCTCTACCAAGAACTGGTGCAATTGCAGATGCTGCATTTGTACACGCTTCAACCAATGTGGTGTAAAAGTAAGCAAATGGTTGTGATACATCAGGAAGCTTGAATATTAACGACAAAACATTTTTAATAGCAACATCTTCAGTTTTCCAAGTTGATGACTTGTGTTCAGACTCTTGATTATTTTGATGAATTTCTTTCAAATTATCAACACTGCTAGCTGGTGGTGCAAACACGCCATTTGCAAAAAATAAATCTAATGTGATTATTTGTCTGGCAACTTCCTTTCTGTTGAACTCTAGCGCTTCAACTATATCAATGACAATGTCATCGAATAGTAAACCAATAAAATCTGTGCTTTTTGGAACAGTGTCAAAGCCATATACAGGTAAATAAACCTCGAATGTAAGTCTTTGTGTTCTCCACATACCATCAACACTGCCGATTCCTGTATCTAGTCCACTTATATCGGCGTAAGATTCAACTGATTGAATGGAAAATTGAGGCAAGCCAACTTTTTCAATTTCAACAATCAAATGCTGTAAAGAAGGACCTAACTCTGGAAACACTTTATGAACTTTTGTGAAATCTTCTGACAAAAACTCTTTTACTGCTGGTAAAATCAATTCAACAATACTCTTTGCTTCGTAAGGAGCATCGGTATCTTTGACAACAAAAGGTTTGGTGATTGAAATATTTTGTTTCACAATTTTAAAGCCTTCAGCTGTAGTTAATATCTCGTTAATACCCTTCTTCAATTCTTCAGAAGGCTGACCATATGAAACTAAATAAGGAACATTAATCAATGTATTGTAGAAGATAGCTTCAGCCAATGCATTTCTTTTATCTGGTGATGAATTTTGTAAATCGATGGCAAAGTTTAAGAATTGAAGATATATACTGATCAAACTTGAATCTCTGAGAATTGATGTAAGGGTTGAAAGAAATCTTAAGATCAATTTGAGCTTATTCCAAGGACCAGTTTCAAATGACTCAGGAATGATATCTCTATTTAATGCTACCTCAATAACTTCTTGAGCCTTTTGATGAAAGAATTCAGCAACTATCTTACCAATAGCTGGACTCTTTGAGCTGACAACTTGAACAAGACCTGAAATATGAAGAACTTTTTGTGGTTGTTCTGTAACAACACCGAATAATGTGCTTAAAACAGCATCACGAAGAGTCTTCTCGGTTTCGAAATTACCAATTATTGGCGTAGTCATGAACTCAACATCTTCGACGTACTTCTTTGAAGATTCACCAAGTGTATTAATGTCACCACATAAGGTTTTTGACAATTCAACTATTGGCGGCAAACGAAATCTCTTTTGATAGGGTTGTTGATAATCATCATTACCTTGATGTAAAAAGTTAGCGCTGTGTCATTGAATAGCTATAGCCCATTTAAAGTACTTACCAAATCTTCTTTTTCTATTGAAACCACTCATTTTGATGATTCTGGTTTATTCTGTTAGATTAGATCTCTGGCGCTAGTTTCGATATAGAAAGTGGTATTTTTAATATTTTTAAATAGTATCAGGAAATCAACACTGGCACGTTAAAAATTGGCAAGATATTCGCGAATTTTGATTTTTGTTCCACCAATGTGTCGCGTATTAAGAATATATAAATTGTACAATCTGAGTCTGTTGTATTACTATGTATATGTATTGTATAATATATTGTACAGTATTTAATAATTTATATGTCCATAAATAAGGTTTGGTTTCATGATTTCATTTTTCATTAGGTGAAGTAACATTAATTAAAGAGAAAGAATTGATTCTTTTGCCATTCATTGGTGAAGGTGGCTTCAAAACATCCACAGAGCTATTTGAAGATCCCAGTTCGCTCATAAAAGTCTTTTTCATTCTTGAGCTAATTGGTGTTGAAAGACTTTGACGTTTAGATTCTGAAGAAGTGACACTTGCCCTATTAATTCTATTTTGAAATTTGTTCTTCATTTCCGCCAACTCGTCTTCAAGTTTCTTAGATTGTGATTCTTTTAATTGATCACCTTCTTCTAATTTTCTTTCGAGCTCTGCATTTTCCACTCTTAGCAATTTAAATTTTTCCATAATCATGGACAACTTTTTTCGATCATTACTCAAAATTTCAATTTCATTCTTCAATTTTGGGATAGTGACACTCTCAAATTCTTTATTGGCTTTCTCAAGAGTGGCATACTTATCAATATTTTTTGGGGCTTCAAATGAAAATGAATCAAGTTCAGCTTGTTGTTTATTAATCACTTCAGTTTTATTTGAAAGTTCAGATTGCAATCTTTCATTTTCATAGCTAATTTCTAAAGCCGAAGGTTCTTGTCCATTTTCCCATAATAAAACATGTTCTTCAGCGATGTATCTTTTCGTTCTTTCCTCGTTCAATTGTTTTTCAAGGGTGCTGATCAATAATGCCTGCTCTCTCAATTGATGTTCATAATTCAAGTTTGGACTAGAATTGATGTCTTTGCCCTTCAATTGATCCTCCAATTTAATTTCCCTTCTGATAGAATCACCTAGCTCCTTGGAAACCAGCTCCAATTCACGTACCAATGCACTTTTATCTTCCATGATTCCTAATTGTTCAATGGTCAAATTCAACCTTTTAACGTTAGTGTTAACCATGTCGTGATCAACCATGTTTGGACCAATAGAACCCTTAAGCTTTCTTGTTCCATCTTCAACTTTAACTGGATCACTCAACTTCTTTAATGTAGCTGGAGCAGAAGCTGAAGATTTTCCATTGAGTTCACTACCATCACTATAATTTTCGAAATCTGTGTCAATGGTATTATTGGTGAAACTAGAGTTATATGTTCCTGAAACCGATGTTGGGTGACTAACAATATTATTTTGTGATGGATTACGGACAGAAATTTCATTAACATTAGATGTATCGTCGTTGAACCCAAAATTATCAGAAATCTTTTCATCGTCTAGGTTTTTATTTGTGTTGAATCTATCAAAGTCCTCTTTTGGATATTTGTGATTCTTTTGATGTTCATCACCACCCATAATATTTAGCCCTTTAGAAACGCCAATATTTGAATTATTGTGAAATTCTTCTTTCTTTACTGATTCATCAACACTGTCAGAGTATGATTGTCTTTTACCATTTGTTTTTATCTCCACTGGTTTTGTGACCGTTTCAAATGAATTATTTTTCTTCTTTTCATTTCTTTTCTTAGACCAATTTTTCAAGAAGCTTGGTGATTTGAATGAACCTTTCAGTGAGCCGCTATTACTTTTTGATGACTTAATTGATCCAGTTTCAGTAGAGATTGAATTTCGGATTGTATGAGAGTCACTAACAGTTGGTACAGCTGATCCTCTATTACCTTGGTCAGTACTGAATTTTTCTTGATCCGATGAGTCTAACTTTGGTGTTTCTGAAGCAATTGAATCACCTTCCGTGATAGTGTCTGGGAAATCATCATTACCATAAGCACTAGATATTCTTTTTTTATTAGACAAATTATTGTTGTCCATTAATGAGAACTGGGAAGCAGTAACAAAAACGTCATTTGTTGTTCCTGAATTCTGAGCCAATTGGTAGATTTTCTTCTTATTTTCAAAATCATTTGTTTCTGAATCCGAAACACCACTAAAAGTTGAGTATTCACTCATTGAAGATATAGAGACATTGGTTAGCGGGTATTTTCTATGTGTGTTGAAGCTGCTTTGCTTTTTCAATGGAGAAGGTGATACTTGTTTGCTTTGCATATTTGATCGTCTATTTGGTGTGCCAAATGGTAATCTTTGTGGACTTTTATTTTGTAAAGCACCTGAGTTTAATGGTGGAGTTTTAGACCTTGAGTTATTTGATGAGTAATCATTTTCTTCAACTGTATTCAAAGCACGATTTTTTGTTATGCTGGTTTCGTCTTCTTTAGTGTGGTCTTCCTCTGGATCTTCATCTCTCATTTTCAATAAGCTTAAATGTGGTAGGCCTTTGGTTCTAGGAAGTTTAGAGGGGGAATCATTTTCAGAATTAACAGAATCTAATGAGCCTTTTTGTTTCTCTTCATCGAATGGAGATGGTGTTGACTCCCCTTTTGGATTGAATGATTTATCCTGTGTACCAGAGACGTCTGAAAATGTAACACCTGAACTGTCAAAATGATCATTATTATTCAATGTGTTATCAGCCAAATAGTGGTGAGAGCCCTCTTTACTGTTATAATCATCTGATTGTGATTTTGTTAGGCTTTCATTTGACCTTTCTGTTGTATTTGAGTTCAAGTTTGGTTTCTCTGGGAATGAAGGAGCTTCTTCAATAGTTGGTGTTGAAGGATTATATCCACTAAATGAATTTGAATTGTGTGAATTTCTCAATACAGGTGGAGCTGGTCCATTGAAACTGGGATCATTATGTAAAGAGGTTCTACTTGAAGAGCCATGCGGGTTTTGATGAGTTTGAGAATTGACACCCAATGGAATAGAAGATGCTGAGTTTTTATATCCTTGAGGAGCTGGTCCCTGTTGAGAACTAATTGTTGGGCTTGATCCTGCTGCATTCGGTGGGAATTGATGATTTGAAAGTGGTGGATGTAGTCCTGGGTTCATATGAGGTCTAGCAGCATTCGATGGGTGATGAGGATGCGGCCTATTCTGGTATGGGTTAGTTGTTAATGAATATGCTCTTGGGTAATTCTGCGTCTGTTGTGGTTGGTTTGTTAATGAATTTGTCCTTGGTTGAAAAGGCTGTGGTGATTGATTTGTCATAGATCTTGTTCTTGGATCGTTCAAATAAGGATTGAAACCTTGAAGTGACATAGCTCTTGGATCAAAATTGTTTTGATTAGCATCAATATACGGATTTCTTCCACCAGATTGTAGTGACATTGCTCTTGGATCATTGGGTCCATTAATTACTTTACCTGCATTTGTCATAACCTGTTTTTTAAAAGCAGTCATCTGCTTACGATATTGAACATTCGACATATTGCTAGTACTTCCAGGTCTTGCAGATGATGTACTTGATAAGGTTGGAATAATAGGTGTAGAATCAAAGCTTGATTGCCCGCCGTAACGACCTCTATCTCTTAGCGTTGAAATATCATCAAATGACATTTCAGTTCCATTATCATCAATCATGACGTCTTTTTCTTCATCATCATCGTCATCTCCTCCACCAGAAAATTTAGATTTTGATTTATTCATCTTGAAAAGGTTGTTCATCGAAGATTTTGTAAAAGAACCATTACTTTGCATTGAAGATCTTCTTGAACGAGGTTGACCAAGATTTTGATTAAAAGGAGGTGGTGCGTATTGCATCTGATGTGGAACGTAGTTATTTGGATTGAACTGCTGTGGAGGACCTTGTTGAATATGTGTTTGATTCAAATTGGAATTGGAACCATTAAAATTTGGATTTGAATTTATTGAATATCCATTATTCATATGAGCCTGTATTTGAGGATGCTGTTGTTGTGGAGAGTACTGATTGAAATTTGATTGTATTGGCATTGCTGGAGGTGCCTGGCCATTTATTGGAACTTCATGTCGAACATCTATATTCCCGATGTCTGTGCTCAGTAGTTGATTTCTTAATGAAGCCTTGTTGTTGTTTGGACCTTGAGCAGCATGCATCTTTAGTAACCTTTACTGAATGGAAAGCAAAATCCCTAAATTTGTGATTGATCTCAGGTAATGTGAGATTGAATTAAATATGATCGAGACAAGTACTATCTTTTCACAGATCAATACAATTTTGTTGAAAATGTGAGTATTTTTTGATGTAGTAGTATTGTGTCTGTTTTAAAAATAAATTTAAATTCTACCCAGCTTATACCGCCCCGAATAAATAATTGAACTATACTAATAG